CTAACCGGGGGCCGGCCGAACTGTGCATGTCGGAGCATGCGCAGTTCGGCTCCGGGCCGGGGTTGAGCCGGCGCAAGGGAGCGCCGGCGATCAGACGCCCGGGAAGAAGCGCCGCGTCCACTTGAACCACCGAGGTAGGTGGTTCATTTTGCGGCGGGTCTTCCCGGGTTTGGGCCAGTGGTGCGATCAAACGCCGGGGAGAAAACACAGCCCTAACCGGGGGCCGGCCGAACTGCGCATGTCGGAGCATGCGCAGTTCGGCTCCGGGCCGGGGTTGAGCCGGCGCAAGGGAGCGCCGGCGATCAGACGCCCGGGAAGAAGCGCCGCGTCCACTTGAACCACCGAGGTAGGTGGTTCATTTTGCGGCGGTTCTTCCCGGGTTTGGGCCAGTTCGGGTGCGGAAGCAGAACACTTCCCAGATGTGGTGGTGTGATCGCACTGCTTTGATCCGCCCCCAAACTGGCCCGCAACTGGCCCAAATCGCCGCGTGTGAACGGGACCATGGTATCCTATTTTTTACAGCAATTCTTTTCTGGTCCATCTTGTATCTATGTTGCATAACTGTATGATTGTATTGTATTATGATATAAGCCAATACGCTCCTCACTGTGTTTGATCTGTGAAGAAGGCCTATACAGGCCGAAACGCATCCGGTCAAGTCCATTGGCCCTTGTGTGCTAGATTTTGGTATTTTTACATGAGGTGTGATTGGGCCCTTATATGTTTTTTAAAAATTCTTTGTTAATAAATACATGTATCTTTTTATACTATGTACATTAAGTTTTTATTGTTGGCCCTCTATTCTGTTTGACTTACACCTTTTTAGGTTCTGGATTCCTGAATGTTTACCCATATCCCAAAGCCAAACTGATATTGGGATTTGACAATATCAGAAAATACCGATTTTTTTCTTTGTTTAATAGACCCAAATCTGGGGGGAGAAAGACATTTTTCCCCCCTGCAGACCCCTGCAGACTCCAGCCTTGTTTTCTGAGGGGTTTTTTTATGCATTTGGAGACTGGTATACAAAGGCTAGATATGAAGAACCCCAAATACATGTATTTGCTCCATCTTTGCGTGTTATGATTCTAACACGTTTAGGCATATTTGGGTATTTGTCTAAACTGCTTTCCTTTCCCCTCCTTCCAACCTGCTGGAGCTACTAATCTCCAGGTTAGGTCTGAAGCACTGCTGGACTTCACCTGATTTCCAGAATAAAAAGTCTTTCGCTTGTTAGTTCAAAGGAGAACGTATTTTATAAAAGAATTCTTTACCCCAAACCATTCAATTGGAATTTAAAAAAAAATTCCTTGGATGTGGAGAATGGAAGCCCTGCATTTTGGGGAGAGGGTTTGCCCCCGGCCCTTCACCTTTGTGTTACCTGTACTCCTGTGAAGTAACTAAAGAGGAGCTTGGTCTCCAGTGAGCCACCTGAGTGCTGTCCTAAGGACAGTTACACCCTTCAGTCCACAGAATTCATTGGGCTTAGAAAGGCATAAGCCTGTTTTCAATGGCCTTAGAATGGCATAAGCTTGTCAGTGGCCTCTTATGTGGGAGAGCTTGTTTCATCAGCTCCATGGGGCGTGCCAATGGGAATGATTGGTCTGGTGTTCTGCAATGGTCTAATCGCTGAAGCCCAGTTAAAAAACCAAACAGTATGATTTCTATTCTTCTTTAGCTCTGCTAGATAGTTCCAGGGATTCTGGTTGCCAGTTCTGTCACTTACTTTCAAATCCTCCCACCGAAGACCTTGGCTCATTCTACCCACTTCTGATCTCCTAGAATCACCTCCCTACCTGTGTATTCCTCTCCTCATCTCCATAGTTCTGGTTCCCAGACTCTAGACTGCAGAGTACTAGGCACCCTATCTCATCTCCAAGGATCCCAAGGTGACAGATTCTCCTTCACTCACCCCACTACTCCCTTCTCTTCAGAGAACCCCCAACCTTCTTACCTTCCTTGCTCTAGCCCAATTGGATAGTCCTTTCCCAAGGATGACAAAATGAATGGTGGATCTGGGGTTCCTACTCACCTGAACAAAGCAGGGCCAAAAAGAGAAATGCGCTCACTAGGGCCTTCATGGTGCTGTAAAGATGAAGAACCAGAGAGAAGTCAGATCAGAAGTGGAGTCTGATGCTGAGTCCAGGGATTCACCTCCAGGAATTTATAGGCCACCGACAGAAGCCACATGGCAGAAACTGGGAATTGTTGGTGAGCTGTTGAAAGTGATGGGAATTGGGAAGATTGAACTTTTTCTCAGAAATCCCTTAATGTTGTCCCGGAAACCAGAGCTCTGGGTTGGAGTCTGATGAAATATGTTTCTGGAACCCCATGTGATTTTGCCAGTAGTGTCTGCCAGTCCCCTCTGGCCACAGTCTTGCCCCACTGGATTTGAGAAAACATGTCCCCAAGCAGTCTGAAAGAGGTCAGTTTGTTCCACATACAATCTTCTCTTCCCAGCATTTTTGAAGATGTGTATGTGAAATATTGTCAATTTTGAGTTCTGAGCAACAGAAGGATATCAGGTCAAGGGTCCTCCTCAGGTGGTGTGTGGGTAACACAAACTGGAAAAACAAATCTTCAAAGTTCTGCATGATGTTTATTCCAGAAGGGAAGCTAGTCTGTTGCGCCAGAAGCTTTTTAATGACTAGCAACACGTCTTCTGGATTTTTATTTTCTTTTGCCACAATAGACTAGCATGGCTACCCCACTGGAATTAGCATAGCAGAATAAAAAAGGAGTCCAGAAACCCCATAAAGAGAAACAGAGTTTATTACATCTTAAAGAGTCATGAATCAGAGTTTGCTTCATCAGATGCATGAAGTGCGCATCCAAAGCTCATCTATATTCATGTTTAGGATTAGGAGCCACAGAAATCCCCCCCCTTTGAAACTGGCCTCTCTTTTTAACCTTTCCCCATTACTCCCTTTCCAACTTTCTGCTATGAATGTACACTTCATACATCTGGTGAAGCGAGCTCTGACTCTACTCCCAGCTTCCCTTCCAGGTTCTGAGGTTTTGCCTCTCATCATCTGCTGCCCAGCTCCTGGTCACCATGGGGACTATTTACTGCCTTGTGCACCCCTGGAGGAATAGCCACTTGCCAACTGCCTGCCTTCCCCCGGCCCTTCTTTTCAAAATAACGTGTCCAAGATGGTGGGACACAGAACCACTACCATCATTAAAGTTATAAAGTATTTATTAAAAAGAAAATGTTCATATGTGTACTTTTAACACAGCACCAGAATTGAGCAAGGGATACAAAATAAATGGGGGGTGCCACTTCCCCAATCTCCAGGAACTTCCGAAGACGGAGCGGGCAACCCTACCTCATAGGACGTTCTGAGCATACAATTTCTGGTAATTCCTAGAGCTACCCAGAAGTGACAAGGGTAGCTTTAGGAATTGCCAGAAACTCTTATCATCAGAATTTCCTGTAAGTAGAAAGGCCTTATTTTTCTTTTTAATTTTTATCCCCGGGACGATTGCGCCCCCCCCCCATTTGACCTCAGTTTCCACCCACCAACCAGGTGAGTTTTGGCAGGCAAGGGCCACAATTGCCTGGAGGTCTCCTGCTATAAGCAGGTAAATGGGAACCCTATTCCCAAAACTTCAGAGCAAAGCAGGTTTGGGAAAGGTCAGGGAAAAGCCAAGGAAACATTGGGACATACACAAATGAACCCTGATACTGTGGCAAAGCAGGGGGGAAACACATTTTCCAACAGCAACAAAACAGGGTGTATAACCCTTGTGGAAATGACCCTAGCTTTCTGCAAGAAGGGATGGAGGTGATATGGAGAAGCATGGAAGCAGGTGAGCTCTCTCCTAGACTGATTTCACACAAGAGCTGCGCCGTGGTCGCGCCTCCCTTTGCCCCGCTTCTATTGGTCAATTTCCCACTCTAAGCCGTGCAGCTGCATTTTGACCCATGGCTTCACCCGATTTTCCCCGCGATTTCGTGATCCTGGTTTTTTAGGATCACGAAACTGCGGGGAAAATCGGGCAAAGCTGCGGGTCAAAATGTGGCAGCACGGCTTCGAGTGGAAAGTTGACCAATAGAAGTGGGGCAAAGGGAGGCGTGACCATGGCGCAGCTCTTGTGTGAAATTGGTCAAAGTGAAGATTCTGTTCATTTCAACCACCAAAGGGGGTGGGGGTGGGGTAAAACTAACATGAATGCAGATGCCTTATCCTGATGGCAGCAGGATGACAAGTTGGTGATGATTCCTGTTGAAGGTGTAAAGACTCTATATGGAAAAGATGGAATAAAATTTGCAAGATCCCTGGTAGGTAGAACTGCTGAGAATCTGGGTCTCTCCCCTGAGCCCATCCTTTTTGTGCACTACAACAGTCGCCGTTACCACACCTAAGGCTGAACAGAGTGCTCCTGATATCAGAGATGGTTTCTTTATGTAAAAATAAATGAACACAATCTATTCAGAACTGTGACTCTGTCAGCTGGGGCCACACTGTTATGGAGGAAGTGTAGTGAATTAAGCAACTGCTCCTACCCAGTATCAATGGACTGCAATGCATGCTTTACATGATAATTTAAGGCACCTGGGAATTGAAAGGACATTAGAATTTCTCATGGAAAGATTCTGATAGTCTCGGAGGGCAAAGATGTGGCCAAGAAGTGTGAGACCTGAGCCTGCTGTGTGGAAAGCCCTGCTGTTTAGGGCTGCTTTCATAAAGCAACTTGGCATCACTGGCCCAAGGGTGATCCCAAGCCAGAATGATTCGATTACACTTTGTTGAATATGTGGGGCACCCTGAATACTGGACAGAAAACTAGCTGGAGCAAGTCCCACTTCCCTGGAAGGAGGGTTGCCAAATCCAGATTGGGTAAATTCCTGGAGATTTTGGCTTGCAGAGTATTTCCCTACTTGTTCTGTGGGACATCAGCTATCCCATAGAGAGTATCAAAAACAAGACAGGCTTTGGTGTGAATACAATAGAAAAAATAAGCTCACTATCATTTTAACACACTTAGTTGTACTTATATAAGAAATTTCCTGTATTAAACAACATTTTCATGGACATAAGCAAAGCCAGTAAATAGTAACATAAATACAATACAAAACAATGCAAAATCTTGATATAGTTATTCTTAACATCTGCTGATTTATGTACAGAACTGAATTTAATTAATTTTTTTTACTATATTATATTTTAATCTTTTAAATTGTTACTTCATATGCTGTGAACCACCCTGAGCCTGCTTGCAGGGTAAGGTGGGATATAAATTAAATCAATCAATAAATAAAAAATTCCAGGAGGGACCTGGTGTGGTAAGAAATTTTAGAAATATAGAAGGTTTGGGTTTTTTAAAAAATGAACCAAATAGTTTATAAAATCCATATATCTGTGTCTGTCCTTGCTAGCAAACAGGCTTGGCCTTTTTTCACTGAACCAGAGATGTAACACATTCCATTCCCAGGAAATCTCCACAGGTGTGAGACTTACACTAATCAGCAATAAACTGCAGCTGGCCAGGAAGGCCATTTGGGCAGTAACAGACCCTAATCCAAAATGTAAACTCCTGAGATACAGGATTTCACATACCCCACTTCTACCTCAGAGATAACTTCAAAGTTATCTCTCTGATAGCTTCAAAGGGCAGTTTATTTCCCATGGTGGGAACACCAGAAAAACAATAACACTATATTGATCCGGTAAATAAAAGTGTAAACTTTTGTTGTGTGAGACCAAGGAAGAAATTTCCTGCAAGACAATTTCAACTTCTAAATGTTAATTTACAACTGTCATTTGATTATTGAGGGACCTCTTTGATCATTTGGTATAAATACTGGTCCAATCCAACAGACTTTCTTTGGCTCTTGAGGATAAGGAGAGGCTTAGTCTCCTGAGAATTTGGAGTCAACCCGAAAGGCTTTTTTTTCCTCTGCATGCTTTGGGGTGGGATAGAACTTTGCTCGCATGTTTATTTTTCTGTGTATTTACTATCAATATTTAGGAAATAGGATTCTACTGTGTTGGCCAGCTGGCATAGCGTCTTGCTGGTAATCTTGCCAGGTAAATCTTTGAATGTTTTTCGTTTAATAAAGATAAGTTTTATTTTAAGAAGAGACCTTTGAGTGTCTCTGCCAGCGCTTAGCGGTTTCCAAGCTTACACCTCTGCCTTTGGTAAGGAGGCAACACTCAGGGGACACACGAACCAGGGAGGGTGTGGGTGGCATGGGTAAAAATGCATTCACAGACACGTGCAGCCACACACTTTTCTCACAACAATTGGTGCCGTGCCCCGGATCCCCTACGCCTCACAAAGAGATTCAGCGCTGGACTTGTAAGTATTGACCTTTCTACCTATCCTTTCTTTTCTAAAAGTGATTCCTGAAGGGTGCCTTAAGTGAGAGGCCTTCAGTAAAGGCAAGGAAGCCTGGTGAAGTGTTTTAGCGCACTGTAGACACCCAGTAGCCAGAATCAGCTGGTCGAATAGCTAGCTGGAAGGGACCACTGTAGTCAGGGTCCACGCTCTCTGTTATGCTGAAGGTATAAGGGATTTGGCCATCTGGCTAACAGATTGAGCTAATATCTCACTACTCTGCTCTTTCTTGTCCACAGGAGTCGGTCTCCTTGGGCCAAAAGCAGGATTGGGCACTTGAAGCCTGCTTTATTTTCTTCTTTATTCTCTCCTTTGTTACTAAATAAGGGTTGGGATAAGTTTTTTGTGTGTGCAAGGTGATTGTTGTTATTATTTGTGGTTTGTGTGGATCCCTTTCAATTCCTGGCCAACCTTTGGGGCCAGCTGTCTGGGACTCCAAGTGGAACAGTCTCAGCTCCTCGCGAAGGAGAAAGTGAGCAATAACACTTTCTCTAGTGAGTAAAGACTCAGCTGACACTTCAGTATACAAGCTAACAGTACATTTTTAATTTTTCCACTTCACTTATAAATCTGTGTGTGTGTGTGTGTGCGCGCGCGCGTGTGCATGAAACTATACGAGTGTGTGCTGCTTTAGGGGGGATTGTGGAATTTTATTTGTCCAAACCTTTTCGGGGTGCTCTCGCAAGAGACTGGAGACCTCTTGACCCATCCCGATAACTCTCTAGGGATTGAAAGCTTGAGCGACACACAAGTAATTTTGCATCAAACAGTACATTCTT